TGTGCCGATTCAAAGCCGAAAGGGGAAGCGTGGGTTCTCAACTTCGGGACCCCTCGGCTTCGCTTCGAGGCCGCGGCGGTGCAGCTCCAGCGCGTCGCGCGGGGCATCTCCGCGCGCAGGCGGGTGGCGCGGATGCAGGGCGCCAGCGGCTGCATCGGCGCCCGGTGGCGTGGCACCATGGAGAGGAGCCAGGGACGGGGTGTCGGGTGGGGGGGGGAGGAAGGGGGTCGGCTGGGCGGACCGGCAGAAACATTGCAACATGTCATCAGGTGTTTGACAACAGTGTCATCAGAACAAAACAACACATCCCAAAAAGTCGCACCCCCGAAAAGCATAACGCCAGAAGTTCCGCAATCCATGACTCCCAATGTCCATTTCGGTTTTTGGAGGACCTTTCTGCTCCCCGTGCGATTCAGTCTCTCGCTGTGTTTTCTCTTCCTTGCCAGGAGACGTCTAGCACAACAGCGCGCGCGGGCGGTGCAGATTCAGGCAGGCTTGCTTGGCAGGGGCGAAAAAGGGTCGTTTTCCAAATTAGAGCAAAAATGCGTGGGCGTGTCCGGATTCTGGGCTGAGGAGGTGGCCAACAAAGATGACAACCTAGATCAACTTTTTGTTCGCCAAAAAAGTTTCAAATTTGTCAAGCCGCCTGGTTGCGGGCTTGGCGCTCGATAGGCCGCCTATCGGGGGATCCTGGAGCGGCGCTGGTTCCTGCGGCTCCAGCGGATGGTGAAGCGCCTGCACTTGCTGGGTGGTAAGGCGCTAGGGACATGGCCGGAATGTCGGTTCTAACAAATGGGTTGCATTTGGATGCTACACACATTGACCTTTGCAAGCGATCTGTGGAATGGGCGGGTTGACTGAGTGGGGCTCCTTTTTGACTGAGTGCGGTCGGCGGTGTTTGGCGCTTTGCCCAGGAGGGCGGTCACATCTTTTCTGGGATGTCCATGCTCGCCCGCATCCACAACCGCACCGCCAACCTCTTTCAGAGGCCGGGGCTTGACAACGTCCACTAGGGGTTCTCAATCTCCCCCATCTTACTCTTCGGGGTTGACGATCGTTTAGAGGGTCAGTTTGAGGATGGCTTCTTGTAGCAAGCTGTGTATTGCAGAGGGGTGATGCACGCGTGGAATCAAGTGGCACTCACTTGCACAATTGTGGGTTTTCTTTCTCATAGGCACTGCCCGTTGAGACTTTGTTAGACTCATCGACCGCACCGATGATGGTCCAGCAAGTTCACACGTGAGGAGTGCTAACCTCCTGCAACTACTTCAGAGTCCCGCACCGCTTGTAGCTGGAAGATGCGACGATCTAGCATGCTTTCCACTACCCCGGTTTCCCTCCTCCACCCAAACCCACCCCTGCCATTTTGCTTTGCTGCCCCAGGCGCCGGCTGTGGTCCCGCACCCTTGAGGCCATCCACATCCAGCGGGTCGTGCGGGGCTACCTGGCGCGCAGCAGGCAGAAGCGCCAGCAAGAGGCGGGAAGTGGGGTGGGGTGGGGTGGGGTAGGGTGGTTTGGGAGGAAGTCCATGCGCTCCATTCTTCCTGAATTACCTTGCTGAAAATGCTCCGGAGGGCTGGAAAGGTTTACCTTTCTGGCTTTGCAACTGCACTGTCAAAAAGACATGGCACTATAGTGCCCGCTGCGACACCAATATCTTCTGGCATCACGGCATTGTCAGATGACAGTAGTGACAGGGAGGAGACTTGATGCTTTTCGAAGTCTGGTATGAACTTGCGGGACATTCAAAACATCAAGCGAAGTCGCCAAAGAGGAGGTGTTGCCATTCCTGGTCCAACAGACGGAGCGTGAGCCACTTGCGGAGGAGCCGTGGCTTCCAAAGTCGCGCCGCAGGTCCTGATGCGAAGCATCGATTGCAGAACAAGCAGTATGGGTGGCATTGTTAGGATGCGACCGGCTTTGACGAAGAAACAGAAGTCCACTGCGGAAATCTAAGGCAGATTGCTACGGCTTCGTGCCAGCTGGACATATCAGATTAATAAGGCCCTGGTCGAATTGTTCGGTACTGTACCTGGGCACTCCGGCACAACAAGGAATGATCAGGCATTCCTCTTTGTGCCGAAGCGCACAGATACATGGAGGAAAATACAATCATGTGAGACCTAGAAGTAGAAACAACTTAAATCACTCTTTCCCTACTACACTGTAGCTTGAAGAGCGAGGAAATTATGACTCCAGGATTCGAGTGCCGACCGGAGGCCACCCGGCGCATCCAAGCGCTGCAGCGGGGGCTGAGCCTGCGCCGTCGCATGCAGGCAGCTTCCACGGTGGCCCTTGGGCCCTCCTTGGGCCCTCCTTGGGCTCTCCTTGGGCCCTCGGCGCCAAGAAGCTGAAGGGGAAGCTGAAGCAGGGGACAGGGCTCGATTGCTTCAATCCTTTGCTTGTTTCGAAATTGCTCCGCACCTAGACTTTATCAAAAAGCCTGAAGAGTTTCAGTCATTCTCATCGGGTATGTGCAAAAGCGGGAGCCACACAAGTGGAGGGGATTTCTTGAGATTGCCTTTCAACACCTGCAAACAGGCGACCGAGCCTCAACAAAAGTATGTTTTCCTCTCGTTGAGCTAAAATGACGTGCGGCTGAGGCAATACAACACGGACCCGTAAATTTCAGCTCTTTTCACCCCGACAATTTGGGCTATCAACAGGCTCCTTTGGGACCAATGGCAGCCACGACCAGGTGAAGGTCCTGGCGGCGGTTCGGGTGCAGGCCTTCCTGCGGTGCAAGAGGGCCGTGTTCGTGAAGGACTGAGGGGCTGTGGTTGGGGGGGCGGGGGGCTGTGGGCTTTGGGGCCGCGGGGTCTGAGGGGTTTGTAGGCAATAAACACAACTCTTCTGGGGAGCCGGGGTGGTTTCGGGGCTTTGGGCGGTGTTGTGTTTGGACGGGGTTTGCGGGTTTGGGTTTTGCTGTCTTGGGTTTTGGCCGGAGTGTGAAAGGAGGAGATAGCGGAAGTTTGCAGAGCCTCTTTCAGGTGCAGTTTTGCAGAGCCTCTTTCATGTGAGGCTGCGGGGATGCCCGCGGGGGCGGGGGTGGGGGGGAGGTCGGGGGCGGGTGGGTGGGGGGGGGCTGGGGGAGAGGGGGGGGGGTTGGCGAGTGAGGTGTACAAAGAACAAACACAACGCATAAAATGCACAATAATTTCTGACCAACCAAGAAACTGATCAACAACACGTGTTTCTGCCTTGATGCCATTGTTTCCCGTTTTCGTCTCGGGTTCAAGCCGTTCCTTTCATGCTTCTTCTCCCTCGCCTTGTCCCCACTGCCCCCTTTGGCCCCCATGGCCCCCACGTGGATTGGGGATGGGCGCAGGAGAGCCGGGCGCAGGCGGCCCGCAAGATCCAGGCGATGCGCCGGGGCATGGCGGTGCGGCGGCGCCTGAAACGCCAGCAGTGGGCGGTGAAGCGGATCCAGGCGAGGTGGCAGGGGGTGGGATTTGGGAGGCCCTGGTGTTTTGATTGGAATGCGTTTTTGGGTTTGCCTTGTGGATTTTATGGTTTTTGTCTTCTGGGGTTCTTCTGGGGTTTGTGTGGATGGTGATATGCCAACTTGTGACAGGGTTCGTTTCACAAGAGGTACTGACGATGTTGCAATGAGTTGATTTGGAGAGGACATGGCAAAACCAAGAGGCTCTCCAATATCCAATGTCCAGTTGGGGCCCACGTCATATTGTCATGTGCATGGTTCGCTGGTAGGGGCAGCGGGGGCGGCCGCCGTTAGGAGCTAAAGCATTGGGTTAATGGTTGATTCATAAGACGGTATTGCAGGTGGTTTTGTTTATCGCCATGACTCCCGCAGCATCATAAGCTAGAAGATGCCCCAGAAATGGGTTCCTACATAACCGGGGGGGGCTTCGTGGAGCCAATCAACTAACGGGGTGCTTTGGCTTGTGCATCATCTGCTATTTAGGAAACGCTGGGGTAGGTTTCTCCTTCCATTGCTATAAATTTTGAATGGGAATACCCTTCCAAGTCGTTGGGGGACAGACACCCCCGCCTAAATGATGTACCCACATTGGACAGTGCGAACCGCGGATGCTGGAGGGTCCCCCCCCCACCCTCTCCCGCACAGGCGTGGCTTCGGGATGTGCGCGCCAGCCGCCGGTCGACTGGCGGCGCCAAAAGCGGAGAGGCAGGACTGCACCCTCATAGCCCTATGTCGTTTGGTCAAGCAGTTTCAGAAGTCAGTGGATCTGAAAGGGAATTCGGGACACTGGCCAAACTTTGCAGAAAAAGCTGAAGGCTCGGGAATTGTGCAAGCGTGGGCAGAAGCGCGCCCTTTGCAAAACACACTCTTGTGAAGTGAACGTGGGTGGTGTCTTCAAGTACGGGACTCCTTTTGGCCAAGAATCAGCTTCTGGAATCTGCTTGGGGGAAAGGACCCCAGTCTCGGGTTCCGTGACGTCATGTGCACTGGTAGGAGGAAAAGCACGTATCATTTGGAGCCCAAACTATCCAGTCTCTGGGCAATTTGGAGGGCCAGGGCAACTCGGAAGGCGAATTGTCCCATGCTATTGTGGGAACTCTCCCTCCGCCAAAAGGAGTTTCCTCTAGGCGGGCTGATGCTCAAAGGGGAAAGGGCAACCCTGTCGGCTACGAGTGGGATGCATGTGGAAAAGATATCTCCTTCGTGAAAGGTGGAGGACACGGATAGGATTTGGCTGGTTTGTTGGTTGGTTTGGTTTGGTGTGGTTTTCTTGGTTGCTTGTCAGTTTGTTGCGTTTGTTTTGCTTGCTTGCTTGCTTGTTTGTTTGTTAGCTTGCTTGCTTGTTTGCTTGTTTGCTTGTTTGTTTGTTTGTTTGCTTGCTTGCTTGTTTGTTCGTTTGTTTGTTTTCTGAGGGAGGTTGACATCGGAGTTCCTACCCGCAGGTGCTTGCCAAGAGCGGCTCCAATGGCAGCCTTGACACCTCCGATGCCCTTTGGATCCTTGGCCTTCCTAGCTTGGGCAGGGCACTTTGGCTGGCTTGTGCACCTGTTGGACCAAG